TATCGCTAAAGTTTCTTCGGAAAGAATTTTTACGGAAAATTAACTAAGGACCAGAGACGTAAGAATAGTCTTTATTCACATACTCCATAGGTTTCTTTTGGGTGCTTTCTGAAAGGAGCTCATCTAGCTACTGTTACACTGGTATTTCCACCAGTTTAGTGTGGGATTCTTGCTATTTTGTGAGAGGAGGTGAGATATTGTATTGGAAGTTAACATTTTCCTACACTGAAAATATGTTTCTGATAGGTTTTTACCTCTTCTGACACTTCCCACCCTTTCTCTCATCTTCCAGTGTTTTTTACATTTCTATTGCTCAATCTCGAAGTGACCTTGGGATAAGCTGCATAAAGGGAGTCAGCTATGCTAAGAGTTGTGTCACACTTATATTGGTGGAGGATTGTCACATGCTCATTTGCATGCTATGCAGCTGCCTCACATAAAAATGTGAGGGTATTTGGAAGTGTCAAGGCTATTGGGGAGCAAAAGTTTGTACATATATAGGGCAGTACAAGCTGGAAAGAGCTATTTTGTGAGAAGAGGTAAGAATCTATCAGAAATACATTTTCAGTTTAGGAAAATGTTGACTTTGGGGTATTCAGCCATCCATATTTAATTTTTTTTTAATCTGTGTGAAAAGTTGGTTTTTGCAGCAGTTAGGTAAGTGATATTGATAGCTTCTTAGTTTCTTGTATATTAAAACCAAATATTCATTGCTTGCTTACAGAGTTTTAGCCATTTTGCTACATTTATGTTCATTATAAAAACATTGAAAATTTTAGGCTTCTACTTCCCATAGTTTTCTTTGAGAAAGAATATGTAGTGGCATTAATGTTAAGAATGTATTGTCTAAAACAAAAGAATTAATTAAATAGTTGTTCTATGTCATCATCTTCTTATTTATGAAACCTCTTTCTTCATCAAATTAGTTTTTATATTAATTTTCCTGCTACTTTATAATATATGAATATATAAAGTATTAGAAGTAATTACAGAAGCAGTGAATAAAATGGGTATAATATGTAAATATTATTGAATCACTCCATCTCTTTTCTAAAAAAAATGAACTGCACTAAAATATAATGTGTATTGTACACTGTGATTGGCTGTTATCTAACCACTCGTACAGTGCCATACCAGCATAAGGCCTATAAAGTACAGGTAGTCACACTAATCCTGGCAGTAGTGTGGTGAATGTACTCATGAATCCCATACACTTTGAGAAAAGTGAAATGTGTAGAATTCCAAGTTTTGGTAGTTGAAGGTGACTCCCTTCAACAGATTATAAGAACATTTCACGTCTCAGTAGGAGTTATATGGAAATTGCATTTGTGAAATTAATACTTTTGATAATAGAAGAAATTTAGATTGAAAGCCCAGAATCTTTTTAGTGATACACAACAATCTGTTAGAGATTTTGCCATGGCCTAATTGTAAGTACAGGTGTTAATGTTGCCTTTTGAATGTTAAGATACACATTAGTACATAATGGCCTCAATGGATATGTAGCTGTTCAGAAACCACTGCTTAGATAACCGAGGCAAAAGATTGAAATTGGCATCATATTTTAAACAATGGAATGATCACAGCTAGAGGTAGAGGATCTTTATAGATTAATCCAAATTCAAATTGTTTACATCATTCAATTATAGTTTCTTTAAAGGCAGAGAGGAAAACATCATAATCAGTATACATCTACAATGAAGCATAGTTGGGGACCAATAAAAGTGCAGGCTGCATCTCAACCAGTGGTGATAGAGACGTACACAAAATTGGTGGCACTCTGACTGCTGACAGGTATAAATAGATTCTTATGCATCATATTATTCCCTTTGGAACAAGACCTGTTGGGCAAGAATTCATCTTTCAGTAAGACTGTTCCCAAGCATGCAGCAAATGTGGTGAACTGATACCTGGAGAAAGAAACAGGCCATAGGAATACTCACAAACATGGCTTAGGCTGCATAGAATCTAAATATGAATATTATTAAGACTGTATGGGTGTATATGGAAAGTGAGAAGGTCAAATGGTTACCAAAGAACTTGGATGAATTGTGGGAGGTAATACAGGACTTCTGAGATGATACCTCACCTTCAGACACAGAATAGCTTGATCTTTCATGCATCTGCCTATAATATTTGCATGCCACTAGCCTTCAGCTAACTCTAATCTAAAAATCATGTGTTTAATATGAACTGTGCTTGTGTACAATGGCATTTATGTAAAAATACCCTCCACAAATAGGAAGGTGATACAACTTCCTTGCACAGTAACTACTCCGAAGCACTTTTACTCCAAGTATCTTCATTATTTGCCTTAGCATTGTCTCAAATGAATGTGTTTAAAATATATTAATTAATTACGTGAGATTTGCAATAGTTTACAAAACTTGAATTTCATTCATGTTTAACCATTTCATTCTTTACTAAAGAACATGAAAATTTTTTCCTTCTTACTCATTATGAATTCTCAAGTGATGGTAACTTTTACTTTGTTATGTGATGATGATGATGTTACTAACATTCGAAGTGTTTTTACTATGGTTACTGGAGGCTCGTTGTCTGTGGAGGACATGACAGCCATTGCTCAATGAGTTGTGATTTCCCTTGTGCATACAGGAATTCCCCCTTCTACCCATTTGACTGATGTTTCTTCTCCTCAGTTTGGACAAGACCAGGATGATCATGATTTTGACCAGCTGTACCTCCACCAGGATT